ACAGAGAAATTACCCATCAGTGTTTCTAAGGTTCCCACCACACAAATTTGCAGCTTCAGTAAAAGCAGACCTCCACCTCTGGACTTTATCTGTATCTCCATGGAAGCGCTCTGCATGCTTCTGAAATGCTTCTGCAACAGTACCAGTCTGGTTCCTAACATCCGTCGGATCGACGTTGTAGAATATTGGCAGAACAATTTGCCCAAGTGTTCTTCTGCACTCCATGATCTTCTCCAGCTCCTCAAGGCACCATCCGGATTCCGCGTACCGTTTCGAGAAGATGACGACGGACATCCTGGACCGTCTGATCGCTTCCACCAGTTCATCTGTTATGTTTTCTCCTCTTGGAAGTTCGTTCTCGTCAATGAAGACGTTGACTTTGTTGTCTTTTAATGTCCAGTAGAGGTTGTCGGTGAAGGTCCGGCGCGTGTCTTCGCCTCTAAAGCTCAAGAACACGTCGTGCTTCCATTGTTTCGAGGAAGAGGGTGAAGATACAGAGGAGGGATCAACGGTTGTGATGGTAGTGTCCATTGATTGTTGTTGGCAGAGCTTGTGGTTTTCCCAGATGATCTGCAAATACCAAGTCAACTGCTCGCATCAGTGACCCTTCAGTCTCCCTAAATCACGAAGGAAAGTGTTTTATCCATCCACAGCTTTAAAGCCAACTTTGCCCCCTCACAGTTAGATGTTATTTATAATGTTTTTATTATATTTTTATACCGTTTAGTGGCATTTGATACGAACAGTCATATTATTTGAAAATTTATAAAACTCAGGAAGACGAATAATAAAGACTCTTCGTATACCATAATTATCATTTAATGAACTAGTTTTTCTTAATTAATAATTTATTAAATAATGAACTAAATTTAAAAATCTGATTAATTCAAATGATATGATTGTCCACATCAAATGACATATAAGATGGTATAAAAATGTGGTATAAAACATGGTATGAATATGATTACTCTTAAATTAAAGTCCCACCTAAAGGAGAGATTTTTCAATGTGACCGTCATATAAGGTCGTACACCACGTGTTCTTATATAAATTGTGAGATATGTGTGTTAAAAGATTAATATCTAAAAATTAAAAATTTCCACCACTTACATAAAAATACTTGGTGTACCATCCGTGTTCCCTTCATAACAAAAAATTTCTCCACCTAAAGGTCAACATCTCTTCCCTCTTAATCTTTTATACTCTCTTCCTATTTAAACGGTTACGATTAAATCACGTCAACATTTTATATTAATTTTTTTTATAAAAATAATAAGACAAAAAACAAAATGTGAGAGGAGGGGAGGGAATGGGATGAAAGTAAGAAGAGAGAGGTCTTAGGTTCAAATCCCGTGGATGGCGAATTCAATACCAAATTAAGTTGTTTATTGTGTGGCTTCGCCGAATTCTCTCTTCTTAGTATAAAAATATCGATGTACTTTAAAAAAAAAATCTAATTATTCACTTCTTTGTGCACAATGTCACTGTTCACTTATTCGTGCACAGTGATGAAAAGATATTGAACCATTGTATGATGGTGTAAATTCAAACTCTGTTGGTGATTAATCTAACAAAATATATCGTCTAAAAAAAAATATACACATGTATACACTTCTTTGTCGCTTCTATTTTGTTGACTTTTCGTTAACACGTAACTAGGGATCTGGATCTTATATAGAACCCACTGAATCATAATTCAACCATTTATCGTTTATCTTTTAAATATTTCTTTAAAAATTATTTTTATCAAAATCAACAATTTTGAAATTATTTGACAGTTGAATTAAATGATAGTAATATCATGTTTCTTGAAAAAAATCATATTTATCTATTTTCTTTACCATAATTAAATGTTTTAATAATAATAATTATCTTTAAATATTTAGTAAAAATAATTTATAAACAATGTACAAAAATATAAATAATTTAAATCGTGTAAAAAATGTTAGGAAACAAGCACATTCTCAAATGAAATTATTTTAAGATCCCTCAACGGAAAGAGTCAACGGAAGTGAAGGATAAGAAGGATACTGCTTATTGTCTCCAGCTCTCCAGCTCTCCATCTCCTCCCTCATTCTTATTCCTTCCTCTGCAAATCTTTCATCTTGTAAATTGGGGAATTATGTGTGGCTGAAGGATCGTGCAGGTTTTTTCCTCTGTTTTCGATTAATAGTCTTTATTTTCTCAATTAGATATTAGTTGGGTATTGTGTTCTATTGTATTGCTTATCCAGATTTATTTGCTTTTATGAAAAGCCATCGTATTTCAATTCCCCTTGGGCGAGCAAATCTGCGCACTTTGATCCAATTATGTAGATAGAAAAGCACTTCTTTTCTTGTGGACTGATCTGTTCACTTTGACTTGAATTAATCATAAATTTTGCTGTAAGCAGTTATGGATACAAGTACAGCCCTTGAAGCCTCACCTTCATCTTCACCGTCCTCTTCCTCCTCCTCCTCCTCCTCACCCTACGATGTATTCATGAGCTTTAGCGAAGACACGCGCAAAACCTTCACGGACCACCTCTACTGGACAATGAAAGACGCCGGAATTGACTTCTTTATGGAGGAGAACGAATCAATAAGAAGAGAGGAAAATATATCAGACAAAGTGAAGCAAATAATCGAAGGGTCTAAGGTTTCGGTCATCGTCTTCTCAAGTAGGTATGCGGATTCCATCTGGTGTCTTGAGGAGCTGGTGCAGATCATGGAGTGCAGAAGAACACTGAAGCAAATGGTTCTGCCAATATTCTACGATCTTAGTCCGTCAGATGTTATAGGTACTTTTGTACTAGCATTTCAGAAGCATAGAGAGCGCTTCCATGAAGATACAGATATACAAGAAAAGCTACGGCGGTGGACATGTGCTCTTACTGCAGCTGCAGGTTTGACAGTCTGGACAGATGATCTTACTGCAGCTGCAGGTTTGACAGTCTGGACAGATGCTTTTACTGCAGCTGCAGGTTTGACAGTCCGGGTTTTCAGAACTACTAATGGGTAAGTACGTACTCTTCTCTGTTTGTTTGTTCATTATTTCTTTAAATCGTCATTAACAGTCATGCTTAGATTTGAGTTCTCTATCATTTCCTTTTTATTTTTTTTCAATCCAATTCTTCTCCCGAAATTCTCCTTCTAAATTTCATCCATTTCTCTAAATTTAATGTCAAAATTGAATTGCTAGAGTTCAAGCCTTCTAAAGATATATGAGCTTGTTCTCCAATTTATTCTAGATGTGTGTGGCCTTATAGCTGCGCTCATTCAAATGGGGGCGGTGGTGCTCATGATTTAGGCTCATTTAACAGTTCGGACTGTATTGACTATTTCAGTCGACTAGGATAATTAGTCATCAACTAAATTAATAGGGCATTTGATACTCTACCAGATTAAAATGTTGACTATTTAATACAATGTTTGATATTGTGTCGATCATCAAACTGCTTTATACAAAATTAATTTTAAAAAGATAATTGTTGAGAAGATAAATTATAAATCTAATTTTAGATAAAAACTTGGGTGCCTTAACTTTGATTAATTTCACTTAAAACAAAAACTATGTCATGATACTTCCAGATTTCCCCAGATCTTTGCTTCTCACACCTAAAAGCCAAAAATTCTCCATCTTCCTAGTGGGTAATCTCATGAGGCTAATGGTTTTTTAAGTAGTTGACAGTAAATGTTTGAGATGAACTCCGCATGTTCTTTTTACCAACCAAAAGTCTTCTGTTCAAGCCAAAGAAAATAGAGAATTTGTGAAAAGGAGGTTAAAACTTAAAAGTCAAAAACTAATTTATTCCCCACGTCTTTGTGGTGTGTGTGTGTGTGTATATATAAAATAAATAAATAAAAACTTGTTAAAAAGTTATAATGGCTTAAATAACTCGAAACACAATTTTTCATTTTCGTTCATTACCAATATAATGTTTAAATATTTTTATACCTTTGAGCTCATTTTCTTTGATTATCAATGCAAAGAAAATTAATATGAATTTTTATTTTATATTTAAAATTTAACATATCAGGTGGAGTAATGTTCAAGTGTTATATAACTGTCAATTTAAATTTCATGTTCAAAATTTGACATTCCTTTTTGGAGATGATCTTATATGTCATTTCAAAAAACTTTAAAATATTTTTTAAAATTTATTTAATCTTTGCAGTTGCTAATAAATATTTGTGTACTTTTGCTTCATTTTCAAATATAATAACCAGGTATGAAGGAATGTTTATCAGGGCAATTATTGACGAGATCACTAAACTACTCCAAAGCCCGACTCCAATTGAAATAGCATTTACGGACAGCGCTAAGTCTCCCCTTTCTACGCTTCCGGGGAAGTTACCTGGCACGGGATCTGCTTCCGGCTCCGGCGAGTACCATTGCTCCAACTCCAAGAGGAGGTACGCGTCATTCATTACCCGCGCATTTTAGTTTACATTTCCTCTCCCCAGCTAAAATACGCCTCTAGCACGGTTACCGAGACTATAAGATTTGGTTGGTTTTTCCATAGTCTCAACGAACCATAAAAATGTTGGAAGTCTTTTGAGAACAAATGATACATTGGAGAATACCATATTCAAAGGAATGTAATGGTTGGTTCATTTAATCAAACATGGGAACTCTATGTGGTGCCTGAACATATGGAGTTCCAAGGGTAATGCATTGGATGGTGCATTACTGGTTCGACTTCCATTGATAGTGGAAGAGTTAATTCTTGGACTCACTAGGATTTTCCATCCATGCGTATGAATAGAGGTGGCGTTTCACCATTGTAGATCATCCAAAAGACTATGAGCGAGAGTTCTAAGAGTTGTTCCACTCCAAGGTTGAGAGTGAGCGTGTTCCACCATAAATTGTGAGTTAGATTAACAGTGTGAGGGTGTGTGTTATATTTTCTTTTATTCATCAAGCATTGTCTTTGGCTTGGTAAGATTGTTCTTGCCGTATCCATTATTTTAATATAGTGAAAATTTGATTGCTGTCTTGTAGACGTAAGCAAAAATTGTTGAACCACGTAAATTCTTAATGTCTATCTTTCTGCTTTACTCTTTATTTTTCCTTGTCATGTAATACCGTCAATCCTAACAGGAATGGACCCGGTCAGTATCCCGGGTCAGTTGCTGGGCATTAATGGTTGTAGCACGCGTTGAGGCTAACACAATAAGATGCGCCTGGCGTATTAATTCGACTTTCGAATAGTAAAAAGTTTGTTTGTTTGTTTTTTTTTTTTCAGCGTTTGGGAAAAAGACTTTTGTTGTTTAATTTTTGGATAATGCTAGGAAGACAAAATTTGTAAACTTAAATGATATGGAAGTTGATGATTGAATTATTACTTAAGCATTTATAAACGTGTTCATTCCTATTGGTGACACATATTTTAGTTTACAACTTTTGTCTACAAATTAGTCTCCCTAGCATTAAATTAAGAGTAACGATATGGAGACTAAATTTATAGATAAAATTTACAAAGTAAATGATGTATCACCAATAATAATGAGAACGTTAATAATTCAATAATTAATTTTCATGTTATATAATTCATAAATTTTTATTTATAAATTTAATTTCCTTAATATTACTTTTAATTTTGACCGAGGACTAAAAATCCCTAAACTAGTTTATATATTCGATTTTTCTATTTTAAAAAATTAATTAATTAATTAATTGCTCTAATTTTTGGTAATTCAGGAAAAAGCAGGTGAAGAAAACGATTCGGGTGCCGTTGATAAGTACCGGGGATATTCCAGCGGACGAGCACTCCTGGAGAAAGTATGGTCAGAAGCCGATCAAGGGCTCGGCTTACCCACGGTACTCAATTTAAATCCCAGCCGTAGATTTGGTAATGAAATGAAAAATCGGGATGCGATATGATCGGACGGTAAGAATTGAATCTGACGTTTGCTTAATTGTTTATGTTGAACAGGTTATATTACAGGTGCACTAAGGTCAGAGGGTGCCCGGCGAGGAAACACGTGGAACGAGCTCCGGATGATCCGAAGGTGCTGATCGTAACGTACGAGGGGGAGCACCGGCACCCGCCGGAGAAGGTGGAGTTGGGGTTTGAGACAACGTGAGTGAAAGTGGGTTAGAAAGAGGAATTTGTGAGTTGAAGAAGAGACGAAAAATAAAGCCAGAAGATGTGTTTAAGAGCGTTTTCGTATATAAATAATTGATAAGGATCCTCACCGGATTATATCTTCCCGGACCTGGGAATGAACTGAAAACAAAGATAAAACATTGATAAGGATCCTCCCTCTCCCCCCGCCACTTCTTCAATCCCCTGCAACCAAATCTCCCATGCTAAACTTACTTCACAGTCTAGGCTTCCATCAACTGCGCTCCACCTCCTAATCGAATCATAGTCGTCGGTTCCGGTTACTTCCTCACTCTTCTCTCTCTAACTCTCCCTCTCTCTGGATCTCATAAATTGCCAACTCAAATTTATGAATTATTGACTTACCAATGATTGATAGAGAGACGAATGCCGAGGCCGAGATCTTGAGGTTCGAGTGAGAGAGGTTGGTTTCTGTATTTGTTTATGGGAAAAGGGATGAAGTCAGGTTTGAGTGAGAGAGAAGAGTTGTAGATTTGATAAAAATAATTAATAAAAAACATTTAATAATTAATTAAAAAATATGTGAAGCTGTCAAATTTCATAGTAAGGGAGAGAGCTGTTATTTTATGTCATATCACATCAGATTTGATTTATCGATTGGAAAATACTGTTATTGTCTTTTTTTTCTTTTACGTTATTAATGGTTTTTTAAGTAGTTGACAGTAAATGTTTGAGATGAACTCCGCGTGTTCTTTTTACCAACCAAAAGTCTTCTGTTCAAGCCAAATAAAGTAGAGAATTTGTGAAAAGGAGGTTAAAACTTAAAAGTCAAAAACTAATTTATTCCTCACGTCTTTGTGGTGTGTGTGTGTATATATATAATAAATAAATAAAAACTTGTTAAAAAGTTATAATGGCTTAAATAACTCGAAACACAATTTTTCATTTTCGTTCATTACCAATATAATGTTTAAATATTTTTATACCTTTGAGTTCATTTTCTTTGATTATCAATGCAAAGAAAATAAATACGAATTTTTATTTTATATTTAAAATTTGACATATCAGGTGGAGTAATGTCCAAGTGTCATATAACTGTCAATTTAAATTTCATGTTCAAAATTTGACATTCCTTTTTGGAGATGATCTTATATGTCATTTCAAAAAACTTTAAAATATTTTTTAAAATTTATTTAATCTTTGCAGTTGCTAATAAATATTTGTGTACTTTTGCTTCATTTTCAAATATAATAACCAGGTATGAAGGAATGTTTATCAGGGCAATTATTGACGAGATCACTAAACCACTCCAAAGCCCGACTCCAATTGAAATAGCATTTACGGACAGCGCTAAGTCTCCCATTTCTACGCTTCCGGGGAAGTTACCTGGCACGGGATCTACTTCCGGCTCCGGCGAGTACCATTGCTCCAACTCCAAGAGGAGGTACGCGTCATTCATTATCCGCGCATTTTAGTTTACATTTCCTCTCCCCAGCTAAAATACGCCTCTAGCACGGTTAATGAGACTATAAGAGTTGGTTGGTTTTTCCATAGTATCAACGAACCATAAAAATGTTGGAAGTCTTTTGAGAACAAATGATACATTGGAGAATACCATATTCAAAGGAATTTAATGGTTGGTTCATTTAATCAAACATGGGAACTCTATGTGGTGCATGAACATATGGAGTTCCAAGGGTAATGCATTGGATGGTGCATTAGTGGTTCGACTTCCATTGGTAGTGGAAGAGTTAATTCTTGGACTCACTAGGATTTTCCATCCATGCATATGAATAGAGGTGGCATTTCACCATTGTAGATCATCCAAAAGACTATGAGTGAGAGTTCTAAGAGTTGTTCCACTCCAAGGTTGAGAGTGAGCGTGTTCCACCATAAATTATGAGTTAGATTAATAGTGTGAGAGTGTTATATTTTCTTTTATTCATCAAGCATTGTCTTTGGCTTGGTAAGATTGTTCTTGCCGTATCCATTATTTTAATGTAGTGGAAGATTGATCGTTGTCTTGTAGACGTAAGCAAAAATTGTTGAACCAAGTAAATTCTTAGTGTCTATCTTTCCGCTTTACTTTTTATTTTTCCTTGACATGTAATACCGTCAATCCTAACAGGAATGGACCCGATCAGTATCCCGAGTCAGTTGCTAGGCATCAATGGTTGTAGCACGCGTTGAGGCTAACACAATAAGATGCGCCAGGCATATTAATTCGACTTTCAAATAGTAAAAAGTTTGTTTTTTTTGTTTTCCAGCGTTTGGGAAAAAGACTTTTGTTGTTTAATTTTTGAATAATGCTAGGGAGGCTAAATTTGTAAACAAAATTTTGCAAACTAAATGATATGGAAGTTGATGATTGACTCATTCTTATTGATGACACATCGTTTAGTTTGCAAAATTTGTCTACAAATTAGTCTCCCTAGCATTAAATTAACAATACTGCTATTCTTACCATAATTTTATACCACATTTCTTTATCATCTTAGGTGGCAAATGAGTTGGACAACCACATTATCTAAATTAATTAGCCTTTAATCAAAATGTTAATCAATAATTAATAAAAATATGATTGATTAAATGATGATTGTGGTATACGAGGAGTCTTCATCTTCCACCTAAGATTATTTAAGTGTTTTAATTAATAAAAATATTGAAATTAAATGATGTAACTTGTCCAACTCATCTGTCACCTAAGATGGTAAAAAAATGTGGTATAAAATTGTGGTAAGAATAACATCACTCTTAAATTAAGAATAACGTTAAGAATACTAAATTTATAGATAAAATTTATAACCTAAATAATGTATCAGCAATAAGAATAATTTCCCTAGCTCTTAATTTTGACCGACGACTAAAAATCCCTAAACTTGTTTATATATTCCATTTTTTTATTTAAAAAATTAATCAATTAATTGCTGTAATGTTTGGTAATTCAGGAAAAAGCAGGTGAAGAAAACGATTCGGGTGCCGGCGATAAGTTCAAAAATGAAGGATATTCCAGCGGACGAGTACACCTGGAGAAAGTACGGTCAGAAGCCGATCAAGGGCTCGCCTTACCCAAGGTACTCAATTTAAATCCCAGCCGTTGATTTGGTAATGAAATGAAAAATTGGGATGCGATATGATCGGACGGTGAGAGTTGAATCTGACGTTTGCTTAATCGTTTATGTTGAACAGGGGATATTACAAGTGCAGTAAGGTAAGAGGGTGCCCGGCGAGGAAACACGTGGACCAAGCTCCGGATGATCCGAAGGTGCTGATCGTAACGTACGAGGGGGAGCACCGGCACGGGCCGGAGAAGGAGGAGTTGGTGTTGAGACAACGTGAGTGAAAGTGGGTAGAAAGAGGAATTTGCGAGTTGAAGAAGAGACGAAAAATAAAGGCAGAAGATGTGTTGAAGACTAAGATGCAATTGGAGATGCTAATCCTTGTTACTATTTTGGGGTTTTTATTACCTTGTAGTTTAAGAGCGTTTTCATATATAAATAATTGATAAGGATCCTCACCGGATCATATCTTCCCGGACCTGGGGATGAACTGAAAACAAAGATAAAACATTGATAAGGATCAACTCTATGCTTGTTGAGAAAGATGATCAACAGAAGGCAGATGAGTCAAGTCTCATAGATTATAATCTAATTGTTCTTCCTTCAACTGCATGTAATTGTAGGATAATACTGTTCTGTGTCCATTTTATTAACAAGGGTTCGTTAATCGTGATATATGAACTCATTCGGAAAGAGCAATTCATCAACATAAAGGCTCTGAACCTCAGTAGATGCAAAGGTCAATCCTTTCAATCTAATAATCTATAAACAAACAAATTGTTCGTGTTTCAGAATGCTGTGTCTCTGCGTCTCAGCGCTCTCACCGATAGGAGGACGCACTTGCACTTTGTTTTGTTATTCGAAACAATGTGGAGTTGGACCTTACTTTGCTAGTTCAATCTTCATATGCAAGTGCAACACCACATTCAAGTCAGAAGATCAACTGATTCCGAGTTTGTACTTCTGATCAGTTCCGCTTGAAGAACAATTAACGGATACCAGTACAGCACTTGGAGCCTTCTCTTCATCCTCACCATCTCCCCCCTCCTCAAAGGTCGCATCAGATTCCATGCAGCTTTTGTGGTTTTGAACTACAATGCAATTATATTCCCCGGCAACAGTTCCCTCTGCATTGCTTTCTATACTGAGATCAAACCTTATTCTTTTGTGAGATCGATTCTCATCGTATGAGTCATCACCAGGTCTTGCTGCCTCATGATCTCTGCCTTTCTTGTATTCACTTGAATATGACCTGGACTCACAGTCAAGCGTATATTCATTGATTTCCTCCTTAGGCTGGACACCCCTTAACCATGAAGGTCCAGGAAGAAAAAGGCCACCATTTCCGCTCGCACTCCATCCCTATACCATGCGCAGCAAGATTTGTAAGAGCAATTAATACATGCATGTATGCATACATAAGAGCGAGAGAGAGAGAGAGAGAGAGGACCCGTTGGATTGCTTCCAGAAAAGCATCATTGAGATTGGTGCACCCTTCCATATGAATCCTTGTCATGGAGGTTAACGACTTATCCAGGCCTGGAATTTCAGTGACTTTGGGGGAGTAATTCAGATGCAATTCTCTCAATCTCGACATCTCCGAAAAATCTGGCATTCTTTCCAATGCAACGCACTGATTCGCTTCCAGGATTTCCAACCTTGTCGGTAAATTTGGAATTGCCTGAAGCTTTGTGCAATTATCCAACTGTACAGTTTGAAGCTTGGAAAGGCCAGTGACGATAGGTAGTACAGTAAAATCATTGCCTCTTAGATCTAAAACTTCCAAAGAAGACATAGACCCGAGATCCTCAGGAATTGCATCATTTGTTAAATTGGAGTTCGCAAGAGAGAGATATTTAAGGCACTTCAGTTGTACTATGGAAGGGTGAACCTCGGACAAACTCTTGCAGTCTCTGAGTATCAATCTCTCGAGATTGGGGAGTTTTGAAAAGTCTGGTGATCTTTTTAGGCGACAGCAATGACCCAGATTAAGAAACTTCAATTTCTCAAGCCGCTGTGAGACAAAAACGAAAACAAAATTAAAATCCAAACAGAAGAGAGAAAGCATGATGTCAGTACTTACAAAACCTGGAAGAAAGAATCAATAGCTTGGTTAAAATTATGCAGTACCACGTCGGAGTCCGTCCAAACTTGCATTTGGCTATGACTCAGGTCGACATCAACTAGGTTTGGTAGATTAAAATTTTCTGGCATGACCTCTAGAGGAAACTCAGGCCAACACAGCCATGTTAGCTTTTTGGAAAGATACGTGCAGTTTCCCGTGAACTTCACACCTTTCAGCATGAGCAACCTCAGTCTCCGCATCTCTCTAAGTGCTTCTGTACTGAAGCTAGGCTTGTCAGATTCATGCAAATCTAAAGTGAGTCCTTCAACGTCCTCCGTTCCCTGTTAGAAAAGAAGAAAAAAATACGTAAGAAAGGGACTGCGAAAAGACGATTTATACACATGAAGCAAAGCAATGAATTGGATCCATCAAGTAAGAACTAAATATGAAAAGGGTTATTTGTATGTGGGATATGCATACACTTATCTTTCATTGCATACATTCTTATACTACAATTTGATTGCAAATGTACTTACAGATATGTTACTCAATACGTCTTTTACATCGTCCTGGTCCCACAATCTACAACGTTTTCCAGTGATGGTAGGAGATTTTGCACGTACAATTTCTCTGCCCATATCTCGAAGCAAATCATGCATTATAAGGTTGTTTCCTTCATCAACAGTTACAAGGCACCGATCATGGAGTTCTCCAATTCCTATATCTGGGTCGAAGTCACAGCCATCTAATATTGTCATGACATAGTCCTTGTTCATTCCAATAAAGAAACAAGATATGTCAAGGAATATAGCCTTCACGTCATCGTCAATTAGCCCATCGTAGCTCATTTTAAGCTTTTCATAAATCTTCCCATGAGGCTTTCTTTTCAATTTGCGCAGCGCACTTCTCCATTCTCTTTTGGTTTTTGAACTTAGATAAGAACCTAAAACTTCAAGCGCTAGTGGTAACCCTCCACAGTAATCAACAACTTTATTTGCGAGTTCGAGATATTCATCATCGTTAGGATGACTCTTCCTGAAGGCACGCCAACTAAGAAGCTGAAGAGCTTCTTCATTATTCATTGTTTGTGCCCAACACGTCTTATCGACTCTAATGAACTTTAGCAATTGTTCATCTCTTGTTGTTACAATAATTCTACTCCCTCGACCAAACGACTCGTGTTTTATAGCTAACTCTTCTAGTTGATCCACAGAGTCTACGTCATCAATTATGACAAGTACCTTTATGCCGCCAAGTCTTTTTTGTATCTCCTTGGTTCCTTGATCCACACTACTTACCTCTATGTTGGCCGGTTTCAAGATATCACAAAGAAGTTGGTTTTGCAGTTTAACCACACTCTCTTCCCTCACTTTTGAAAGGAAACTTTTACCTTCAAAGCTTTGATGAACTCTGTTGAAAATGGCTTTTGCAACCGTTGTCTTCCCCGTTCCAACCATGCCCAAAATTCCAACAATGCGCACATAATCTGATCCTCCAACATCTAAATCATTGATGATTTCTTGCACTCGAGAATCTATTCCAATTTCTTTGGCAGCCACGTTTAAGTATGTGTTGTTCAGTTTTCTAGTGATGTCGTTGACAATTTTCCTTATAAACTTACCTTCGTACCTGTTAACAAAAATTTCCAAAGTAAGAAGAAGTAAGAATCATAAACTGCAGGATTAAACTCAACTAATAACTTTGTCATGATAACAACAAAACAATGGCACATTATATTGATCCATGTGATTAGCTCAATTCGACCAAACTGATAGATCAGGCGTTTAGAAATAAATACTCTCTCACTCACTCACACACACACACACACATCAGGTTTCTAATCTTTGCATTAGCAGCATTACAATGTGTAAACTGATCAAGGTTCTAAGCCCTATCATTTTATAGTTTATTGACATTTTGTAGTAGAGGCTTAAGAAAAGCCAACACTTGAAGTTGGTAATTAAAGGTTGCTAAACCAAAACTAATACATCAACATCGTAACTAGCATGATGGCGAACACGGGCTATAATCCAGGTACTTTTTTCGTGAAAAGTTTGAATATAATCCGCATATCAATATATATCTTAAAGTGTAATTCACCCAAATTAAGCCTAACTCATGTTAATTTGTATGTTTACGCAATTTATTAAAACAATCCCTTCATGACTCTAGTTTTTAATCTTAAGTCTCTATGGCTTATTGATTCTCCATATTATCACTTGAATTTCCGTCGAAAATTCTTTTTAGCAACCAACAAGTCACCCTCTAACAATTTGCTAGCCCATCCTGGTAAAAATTTCTGGTTCCACACTTGTAATACATCATCCTGTAAAATACATGCTATGTATGTAAAAACAGTAAGTTAAAAAGTA